GCCGCATGTCTGGAAATTCTTTGTGTAGTGAGGTACGTTTCAAGGTATTGATGGTTGATCGATAGGAGGCCTACAGTATTGGATTGCCGAGAGTTCCCTCCTCACTGAGTGCCGTGGTTATCTTCTTTATTCTGGGATTGAAATATAATTCCGAGGGGAACCAAGCTTCCGGTTTCCGTTCTGCTTTTCAAATCAACCAAAGGGTGGGTTTCACTTTGTTCTCCAATGTGTCATTCACATCCTCATCGTCGCATTGTTAGGAGGAATTACAACAGGTGACAAACTGCTGAGGTCCCGGCGTCTCGTGTGCTACTTTCTATTTTTGGTTGATACTGGCGTTCGTTCTTGCTGTTGACTTTGCAACTCGGTCTATGTCCTGACGACTAGGTAACTGTTTTCTGGAATATTCCGGATGGCATTCGTACTATTTTTACGCCCGCGCCCTTTTTTGGCTGCTGATCACAAGGTTCTCTTATTGTTTGCTTCATTCGTTTACTTTATCTCTCTCCTGTCTTCTTTGTTTGCCAAACCAGTTGAATAAAGAATCATCAAAAGCATCATTGCATTACGCTCGTAAAGCAAACCAATTGGCCAAACGTGCCCTTACTACATTCGACGAATTCCTATCCACATTCGTTCGAACGCCCGGTCAACAGAATAGTCAAAAACCTCGCAAATTCGCAGAAGACGAGATTCGCCCGGTTATGGTTAGTTGGTAGACGTCATCTTTTGATTTGCGGTTATTTGATCTTATTCCTATTGTGTTTTTTAATGTTTACTGCACATCTAGTCTGCCCAACATTTGGTTGTGTCAAATGACGTCACCATACCCCGTGCTATTTTAATTGTCTGTAGTTGTGCAAAACTTTGCATTCGTGGATGTGTTCATCAGGTTTGTTATGTTCGTTTTCAGTTCTGGTCATTATCATGATCGTACCTTACGGCAGCTGTTAGCGGTGACGAAATCAAATTTTTTGGCCGAATGAACTCTGGATGCATTGTGTAAATAAAATAAAATATCATCTTAACCAAAAAAACTGTGGTAACAAATTGCTCGTCACGAAAAGAATAAAACTGTAGCATAATAAACGTTAAAACATAGACCTTCAAAATTCACTTTTGGGTTGTGCTGCCGGTTGTAACTTCACCATAGCAAAACCGGTTCAAACATTTGGCGTTTTATGTATATAAGTGAAGCATAAGGGTAACGTGTTAGAGAGGCGCATAAATCCGACCTCTCACACCCTGACTTGTACCACTATTTCGATGTAAACACTGTGTATCGAGTGATTTAAGAGAACTTCTCCAGCAAGAAAGCCATGCGTAAGAATAAAAGCGATCACACTAAAGCGAGACGATGATTGGATACGGTTGCAGCTGAAAAGATGGTCCAAACGACTATCGTATACGATCATCCGAGTAAATTTACCGGAACTCTTGTATATCTCCGTTCGGAAATCGATGGTTAGCTTCGAGTTGAAGCTGAGAAAAGCCGTTATGAAACGCCATAGGGGGACGCTCGTTGATTTTGCCAACCAGTTCACATGGTATCGTGCGTCCTTTGATGTTCAGTTCATTTTACTGACGATCGTCTGGTGGTTTATGAGTAAAACATGGGGTGGAGAAAAGTCCTCTGTGGGCCTGTTTTTCAAGAGAAGGCATTTTCACCGATCATAAGAACTAATTATTTATCGTTGGGCACATGATCATGACAAAGCGGATCGCGAAAAATTTGCTGATGAATGAGCTTTTCGCTGACTACCATTCTTGCAACGCATTCAGAGAAGGCATACTTTCAGAAGGTAACGTTGCGTGTTATGCCTAATGCTGGGTTTATTATAGATGTCATTTATTATGTATGGTTTTCCCCGTATTCAAGCAGTTTCTAGAATGGCAAGTTCCAGAGTCAAATTCGTTCAGTTATCACCTGACAGCCCTGATGTGAGTGTGACTGAACACTGTTTTCCTTCGTTGAAGTCAGATTCTTCGAGAGTGGTCGTTATAGACTAAGATGCAGTGTGTACCGGAATAAGCTGATAGTTGCTATCCGATAGCCAAGTCAGTGGTCTCTGTGCCAAAATGACTGGCTCAAATTCTCAAGAGTAAAGAAGGGTACACAGAGTATTGAGAAAAAGAAATTGCAATTTCATTCCTACCGGTCTTTTTCATGAATAAATTCTCCGTATTTTTTTTTACTGATGTTCGGTTTTCCTACGACTGGAGCGCCATCAACCGTCGTGGAAATCGTGCATGTATAAGGCTTTCGACTAACGATGGTAACAGTATGAGTGGTTACTATTGTAGGAATATTGCCCAATATGGGTTGATACCATATCCATTTCAGTACGTTAGGGGTCAAAGCGTTAGCCATGAAGAGGAAGAGATATGTAGGAATTTACGTCGCCCGAGTTCGATCGGTTACTGTAATGCTGGATGTAGTATTGGCATTAACGGGGCTAATTACTACTATGGCAGCTTTCAAAGATAAGGCTTGATAACCGTAAAGAGGAGTGCTCTTATTCACTTGGCTACTTGT